TTGCCATCCTGGGCATCATTAGATACATTATTGGCCAAGCCGGGATGTTTGCGCTTTTTTTGAGAAAAGTAAATGAGCTCTTTGAAGTAGAGGGAGTAGCATAATGATCCCCTCTTCCCACAGAGCCTGGCGCTCAGTCCCAGCAGTTACCAGTCAGGGCGATGGTCAGGACAGCCAGTCGCCTCAGCTCTGCCCTGCCAACACCCCTGCCCCACCACCCCAGGTCACTTTCAAGCGAATCTTTCACATCATGTCATTGAATCTAAATTTATCCACGGATACCTTCAAAAGGTATTAACACGGCAATAATATCATTATCACACCTAAAAAAAAGTATGGTAGTTCCTTTAAATTAAATATCAAAAGGGTGTGAAAGAGTCTCGATTATGTCATAGTTTTTAAATTTTTAATTTTGACTCAGAGTCGAAATAAGTTCCGTATATTGCAATTGCTGATGTATCTTAAGTCTCTTTTAATCCATTCACTTCCGTCCCCACCCCCCGCCCTGTCTCTTTTTCTCCTTGGAATTTATTTTTTAAAGAATCCAGGTCATGTCTTACTGACTGCCTCCCTTCAGTGCTGTTAAACGTGCCTTTTGTGACGTGTGTTTCCATCCATAACACACAGTATGTGACTGATTGTGGCTGCGTGACTCCGGAAGGAAGCACATGTCATCCACACAGTCTCCTCCCCCAAACAAAAACTGATCCACAATCTGACCAAGCCTCTAGATCCAACTACCAATTTACAAAACATTTGGAGGACAGGAGACACGGACTGATGCAGTCAGGAACAGGCACAGATGCCCGCAGTCAGTAATGCTGTTAATATTATAGGCAGAAGAATTGGTTAAAAAAAGTAATAAAACTACATCTATTTGGAGGGGAGAAGAGGTATCCGAAAGCCCCTGAGAATCAATTATAAAACTAACTCAAAAGAGTCTGCACACTAGCAGTATATAAAATCAACATGGTACCTCTAACGTTCGTGTATGTGGATAATGAATAAGCAGGTACAGGACACGGGAGGAGGAAGCCCACTGTATGGTAGCAGCAGACAAGAGACACTTAGCAGCGTCTGAGCAAATGCTCATGCCTCGATGGAGAGCACTCCTGAAAGGCACCGGGCAGACTAGAGTCATTCGTTCTTCTTGGCTAGTTGTTTTAACGTCAAGATGTCCATTCTGGCTAAGTTAATTTATAAGCTTAATGTGGTCCCAATGAAAATAGCAATGAGATTTTCTTTTTCTTTTCTTTTCTTTTCTTTTTTTTTTTTTTTTGGTGCAGCTTGCCAGTACAGGGATCAAACCCTGGACCTTGCTGCAGTCAGCACCACACTGAACAGCTGAGCTAACCAGCCAGCCCAGCAGTGAGCTTTTCTACAGAGTGAGACATGCAGGCGTTGCTAGTGAAACACTGAACAGGAAGAGCTGCGTGTGCTGGGAGAGTGCGGGAGCTAGGTTTATCTGATGTTGAAGATACCTGGGCCTCTAAGTGAACAGCGTGGAGATGCGTGGACAGACAGTGCATGGGACAGACAGAACAGAAAGCCAAGTGGGGCTGGAGGCAGCAAACACTGAGGCATGTGTCATATTGCTGGACAGAGAGGTTCGCTTTAATATGTGGTGAGAGACCGGTGGATAGCTGTCTGAGCAGAAATAAAGATCAAGTTCACTTCTCACACCATATACAAGCATGAAATCCAAAATGCTCTATAATTCTAAATGTAAAAACAAAGAAAAAAACAAAGGAAATAGCCCAAGTACTAGAAGAAAACATGGGTAAATTTCTCTATCTTGTAGGTAGAGAAGAGCTTTCTGTGTCTAAAAGTCCAGATGCAATAAAAGAGAAGATTGAAACTTTGGTTATGTAAGTCACATATATTTTTAAAAGTTTACATAGCACAAAAATACCATAAGCACAGCCAAAAGACAAATTGGGAAGAAATATTTGCAAATAATCACAGGTAAAGGGCTGATATTCCTAATAAACTAAGAACTTTAAAATTTAGAGGGAAAAAAACAAAAAATCCTGTAGAAAAATGGCAGCAGACATGAACAGTTTATAACATGAGAAAGCTGCCTGTCTCAGTGACAGAAGAGTAGTGCCAATGACAGCTGCTCGCAGGCACCCTACCTGGAGGGGAGGTTCCCCAACCGTCGGGTCCCCATTGTGACAAAACTAAATGAGTTTACCCTCTGACCCAGCAGTCCCACTTTTGGGAATTTACCTTTAAGGTGCGCTCCTGTAATACAAAGATACGTATGTGCAAGGTTATTTATTGCAGTATTGTATGTAAAATACTGAAAACTATTTACATGTGTAAGCGTTGGAAATCGGTGGAATACAAAGCTGTGGTTTGTACACACACTGGAGGGTGAAGCAATTTTTATAAAAAGGAGCCAGGCAGACTCTGTGATGATGTGGCATGATTTTCAAGAAATGCTGTCAAGTGAAAAAGTACAGGTGAACAACTTACACTACGTTTTGTGTAAAAAATAAAGGAAAGTGAGAAAAAACAATATGAAGGTACATCAAAACGTTCAGTGGAAAAATAGAATTAAACGATAACAGGAATCTGTCCGTGGGCTTTTGAAGCGCCTCTCCCATGAGCGTGAGAGACGGACCACTGGATTGGTCACAGACGAGGGCGGGGGTGCATGGAGTGGGTGGGGCTTGATATTCTCACCCCACTTTGTTTAGTTTTGACGTTTGGAGATATGTTGATGTGATTTAAATCCCAGGGAGGGAAGGAGAACTAACCTGGACCACACCCGGCTCTGTGTCATGTGGTGACACAGCTGCACTGATGGGCAGGGAAGCCCCACCATGGCCTGTCATGTGGACCTAGGAGCCAGCTGTTGGGCACGCCTGGGTCCCCTGAGCACCACAATAATCAGGGGCAGTCTGTGCTGTAGACCTTGAAGAAAATTTGGTCTCTGGGAGCCCCAGCCAGTGACACACGTCACATCCACGGAGGAGAGGAAGAGGGGGTGCTGCGCAGGAGCCCCCGCCAGAGACGCATGTGTTGCATCCATGGAGGACTGGAGGGTGGCAGTGCTGCTGCTCAGACCCTGTTAGACCTGGTGCTGCAGTGGCAGCAGAGGAGGGAGGTTGTTGGAAGGTGTCGCTGATCAACCACCTGGGAGATGCAGGTGTGGGTGGGACCCTCCATGGGGCCCAGTCTGGGAGCTGTGAGGGGAGCAGGTGTGTGGGGCTCTCTGGCTGGCAAGGAAGCACTGTGACTGCAGGTGGGGAATCAGCCATCCATGGCCAGTGACCAGCATGGAGGTCCCTGTGAGGGGTGGGTGGACGTCCTGTGTCACCAGACATGGAGCCTGAGAAGCTATGTTGTTGCAGAGGCCAGGATGCCCAGCCGGGTGCCACATGGAGAGAACAGATGGGCCAAAGTGAGGAATGTTCTAGGAGGAAAGGGGCACAGGAGATTGAGCCAAGGAAGCTGCTGTTCTTTTTTTTTTTTTTTTTTCCTTTTTACTGACTGGTAATGGCATCGCAGCCCTCTGTGTTGTGCCCGCACCGCGCTCAGCCAGTGAGTGGGAACCGGTCTCCACATGGGATCCGAACCCTCGGTGGGAGCGCCGCCACGCTCCCAAGCGGCGCACTCTCCAGTGCGCCACTCGTATAACTTCGTATAATGTATGCTATACGAAGTTATGAACAGATGGGCCAAAGTGAGGAATGTTCTAGGAGGAAAGGGGCACAGGAGATTGAGCCAAGGAAGCTGCTGTTCTTTTTTTTTTTTTTTTTCCTTTTTACTGACTGGTAATGGCATCGCAGCCCTCTGTGTTGTGCCCGCACCGCGCTCAGCCAGTGAGTGGGAACCGGTCTCCACATGGGATCCGAACCCTCGGTGGGAGCGCCGCCACGCTCCCAAGCGGCGCACTCTCCAGTGCGCCACCGGGCCAGCCCGGAAGCTGCTGTTCTTGATCCTGGACTGGGCCCTGGCCTGGGCCCTGGCCTGGGGAGAGCTAGAGGGACATTGTTGCTCTAACAGTTGTATGTGGGCACTTCACAAAGTTCATGGGAAGATTCCTATTATTTTTTAATTCTGTTTTTCCACGAACTCTCTGTAGTACCCTATTACGGGTGGTAATTTTGGTGTTTTAGATAAATCTACTACATCAGTGTTAAATTTACCGAGCTTGACAACTGCTTTGGGGTTATATGACATGACAGTTTCATGAAGTACACATGGGAGAGTGTGGATGGAAAGGCCCATGTGGATGTGTGTGCTCTCAGTGGGTCAGAGAAAGTGTGTGTGCACGCGTGTGTGCTTGGGTGTGCTCGTGTGTGTAGGTGTGTGTGCAGGTGTGCTTGTGTGCATGCTCATGTGTGCAGGTGTGCTTGTGTGCATGCTCATGTGTGTGCAGGTGTGCTTGTGTGCGTGCTCGTGTGTGTGTGTGCTCGTGTGTGTAGGCATGTGTGCAGGTGTGCTTGTGTGCGTGCTCGTGTGTGTAGGTGTGTGTGCAGGTGTGCTTGTGTTTGCTTGTGTGCATGCCTGTGGTGTGTGCACGTGTGCTTGTGTGCATGCTCGTGTGTGTGCAGGTGTGCGTGCTCGTGTGTGTAGGCATGTGTGCAGGTGTGCTTGTGTGCATGCTCGTCTGTGTGCAGGTGTGCGTGCTTGTATGCGTGTGCACGTGCAGATGCACAGAGAGAGGCGGAATGGGAGGAGGGACAGCTGACAAAGCCTTGGGGCAGATGCTGCACGTCACCAGATCCAGGAAAAGGACAAAATGCAGATTCTTTGTGCCATTCTCATTCTCATGGTGTTTCTGTAAGTTTGAAATTATATTCAAATGAGACGTTACCTGTATTTAATGAAATTATTTCTATAATTTAAAGCTATAATATTTAAATGAAAATATAAAGAATAGATCTGTGCTGACAGTACATGAATTTGTGTATGGGGGGGTTGTCTACATTAAATTGGGTGAAATGATTACGTTTTTGTGTTTGTCCATGTATGTTTTCTTGTTGCAGGTGAATGAAAACTTTGCCATTGACTTGATAGCAGAGCAACCCGTGAGTCAAGTGGACACTCGAGTAATCTCCTGTGATGGCGGTGGGGGGGCCCTCGGCCACCCCAAAGTGTACATCAACTTGGTGTGTAGCTCCCTCCGCTTCCCCACACACCTGTCAGGGGGCTTGTTCGCCCCCAGTGCGCACCTGTGCTTCTCAGGACTACCTTTTCTTTCTTGCCTGTCCCGCATCAGCTCTTGAGGTGGCCCTGACAGTGTTCACTCTACAGAATTGTACCACAGGGCCTGGATGAGACGGCATGTGGAAGGTACCTTGTCAGCTGTGAGGTGTGGAAGGTGTGTTGTGTTTGATCAGGATCAGCGTCCACCTTCCTCTTCTCAAGCATGAAGGCTTCAGTCTTTCCTCTCTGCACCGTCTTTGTTTGGTCCCTACGTCAGTCAGCTCGAGCTGCCATAGAAAGTGCCTTGGGCTGGGCGGCTTACACAGCAGAAATTTCTCACAGTTTAGAGGCTGGAAGTCCGAGGTCGCGGTGTGGGCTGAGTTGGCATGAAGATGGCATCTCTCCCTGTGTCCTCACATGGTCATCCCTCCATGTGTCTGTGTGCTCCTCTCCTCTTCTTATGAGGACGCCTGTCATGGCGTCAAGGCCCATCCTGAAGACTTGTTTTACCTTCATCACCCTTAAAGACCCATCCGCACACGCAGTCACAGTGGGGTAGGGCTTCAGTGCATGACTTGGGGGACACACTTTATGTGTGCGTGTCCCTCTGTAATCTTTTGTCTGTCGACAAATATAGATATATGGTTCCCGACTTATGAGGGCTCAGCTTACAACTTCTTGACTTCTCGGTGGTACAAAAGTCCCAAACATCCACCAGACACTGCACTTCAGGCCTGCGCGCTCTGTGTTCACTTTCAGTGCAGTACTCAGTGAGTGACATGAGGGACTCAGCCCTTTATTATAAAGCAGACTTTGTGGTAGGTGATTTCACCTGACTCTCGGCTCATGTCTGTGTTCTGAGCACGCTGAAGGTGGGCTGGGCTAAGCTGTGATGTTCAGTAGGTTAGGTGCATTAAGTACATTTTTCAGCTTGTGATATTTTCAATTTATGGTGGGTTAGTAGAGGAATATCTTGTACAGGGCCATAGAGAAGAACAGTGCACATAACCAGGGAGAAAAACCATGAGATGGACTTCAGGTGTGTACATAGTGTGCAGGAGAGGGAAGGGTGTTTAGTAGTGAGCACCTGGTGATCTTGTTCTCACTAAACATAGTCGGTGGTTCGTGGACTTCATTTTCATTAGCGCTGATACTCATAGACCTTTGTATCTGCTGGTTCTGCATGCATGGATTCAACCAACTGCCAATGAAATATTTTAAAAAATACAACAAAATACAGTATAGCAACTTTTTACATAGCATTTACACTATTGTATTAAAGTAATCTAGAGATGATTGAAAGTATACAGGAGTGTGTGTGCGGGTTATATGCAAATACTGTGCCATTTTGTGTTAGGGATTTGAGCATCTGCAGATTTTGGTGTCCGTGGGACATCCTGAAACAAATCCCCCATGGATACCATGGGATGACTATACTAAAAAGGCAGTTGTGTAGCTCAGGTGCTTGTCATGAAAAGGGGACAGTGTAATGGACATAAACTGTTGAGCAGCCCATAACAGGATCCTGTCACCCTCTGCTTGTACCTGGGCGTGATCTTGTGCCTGGGTGTGATCTTGTGCCTAGGTGTGGGTCATGGTCCTCCGTTCAGCACCCCACCCCCCCACTCCAGGCACGTGGAGTTTGGAGAGTTGAGGGTGTTGTAGCTGTTGTGCTGACAGTGATGTCCTGGGTGGTCCTTTGAGATGGCTGCATGTCCCAGGGTGGGAGACCGAGGCTGGGGGCTTCTCATCCCTTGCCCACAGGATTCCAGTGAGTCAAGGTGGAGCTGGAATTGACAGCCAAAATTCTTAGTAACCCCGTATTTTTACAGATGTTTCTAGCTGACAGTATATTTAAAGTTTTATACATACTTTTTCAATGTGTAATATTTAAAAGTTAAATTTGAAGTAGAATATGGAGAAATGATATCTTGCCTTTTGAATTTTTTCAGGACAAAGAAACAAAAACTGGGACATGTGGTTATTGTGGACTTCGCTTTACGCAGCACCACCGTCACTAGAGCAAGGCGTGCACTGTGGTCCTCCGGAGCATGCGCGTGAGCGTTTCCATATTAAATATGAAGTATGTGAAGGTCACGAGCTCTGCATGAAGGGTGTTCCTCGTGCTGAATAAAGGTATTGCCATCAAGGGTGACGAATCATGAGTTTGTGCCTTCCATAGAAAGACCTTTTGAAAATGAGTGTTCACTCAGGAATGAGAGCTGGGGTTGTGTCCCCTCCAGGGTGAAGCGTCACCTGAGCTGCTCCCTGCGGGCGGCTGTGCGCATCTGTCTGTGCGGATCTTCCACAGCATCTTCTCTTATCTGAGGGGGCCAGGGGGGCGGGAGGAGAGCAGCACCTCTGTTCTGCAGACACAACTGCGATTCAGAGAGCTGAGGTTTCTTCGAGGCCAAGCCTCAGTTTACCTGAGTGGAAAGTAGTGCCCTTTCCTGGCACCACCTGCAAAGTCCACGTTCTCACTACCCCGATCCTTACATTGAAATACAGCATCTAAAAACTTAAGAATTTAAGTACCAATTTGAAGGTATTAAAAGTCATACTGGCCAAATTAAGTATTTAAGAGAGTACGGAGTGTAATGCGGCATAAGCGCAAATAAAAACAGCTCGTGAGGGAGGGGAGGCCTGCTGGGCTGGCCCGAGGCCTGGCGAGCACAGGTGGGACTCCAGAGGGATGCCGCGGTGGAGCAGGTGGGGCATGACGCTGCAACTAAAACTGCGGAAGAACGTTTCCTGAGCTGAAGAAAAACCTACAGGTCACAAGAACACACCTAGTTCCCTGCAAAATCGGTGAGAAAAGACAACTCAGTATATTCTGGTTAAAAAAAAATCTGAACTTCAAAGTCTAGAGAAAGGAAAATCTCTTAGCTTCTGGATGAAAGAACAAATTATCGTCGTGGGAAGGTTGTCAGAGTGGCATCCAGCTTCTCATGTTCAGTGCTGGGAGCTGGAAGACACTAGAATAGTATCAGCAGTTCCATCCCCCCACCCTGAGGACGTGCGTGGTGGGTGTGGGAAGACTCAGCTCATCATTCCCGGGCCCATGGGATACCTGGAGGAGGGGGCTCAGCCTGTGGACCTGAGCACAGCCCTGAGCGTGGGGAGGAGGCGGCGCCTCAGGGCAGTTAAGGTTGTAGGGACCAGTCAGTTGGTATACGTAGGTGTGCCAAGGGAAGTTGGGACATCCAGGTATGGGTGCCAAGCGGGTTCAGCAAGTCCAGGGTGCGTGTGTGGGGAAGTAAGGAGGTGCAGGGCTCCTGGAGGGAGGGTCTGGCCAGGGGAGAAGCAGCCAGGCCACAAAGGTACACACAAGGACTGCAGAGAGTAAGCAAGGGGCGCAGAGGGAGAGGCAGCAGCCAGAAGGGCTGGGGTGTGTGGTGGGGGTGCTCTTAGAACGAGGAACCAGAGCAGGAACCAGGCCCGGGGAGCCGGGTGGGAGATGCAGTCCCGGAGCACAGCCCTGTGTCACTGACGGGCCCTTCTATCTCTAATTTGCCAAGATTTTAAACTTAAATTGGTATCTTGATAAATGCTTTTGCTTCCTTTATTGAGGTGCAAAGCTGTGTTTTTCCTTCAGATATGCTGATATGTTGAATGATGTTGGTGTGTCTGTGCTCAGACCCTTGCTGCTCCTAGGGGAGGCCCAGTTGCTCACTGTGTGACGTGCTTCCCACAGGTTGTTAGGTGTGGTGCCCAGGATGTGGTTTGGGACTTTGGGACACCTCAGTTTGGAAATGAGGCTGAATTTTCCTCATTAAATGCTGTTAAATGATGTCGTCCTCCCCACGTCTTAGTGTCAGGTTGTGCTCACTGCGTGGGGAGCGTGCCCCATGCTTCCGTTCTCTGGAAGAGAAGGTGTAGGATGGGAGTGGCTGCGGTGCTGACCTCCCTCTTTTCCGGTGCTCTTGTCCATCTTTGCTTGTTTCCTGGCTGAGTCTCCCCAGAGCTGTGTCAGTTATGCGTGTGTTTGTGCAGCCTTAGCTGCCCATCTGCACTCTGTGTTCTTGTTTCTGCCTGGTTGATTCCAGTTGCTTTCTGTTTCCACATTCTTGCTGCTGATTTTTCATTCTTTTTCTCTGACTTCCTGAGGTGGATAATGCATTTGTTAATTCTCAGCTTTTCTTTTTTCATGTTTATTTGGTGCTATAAATTTCCCTCTAATCTCTGTTTTAGCTGCATCCCCTAATTATGGTAGGTTGTGTTTTCAATCTGAAAGAAAGTGAGCCGAGATGCCAGGTACTATTCAAATTTCATTAAAGAAAGAACCCTGCCAGGCTGTGCTCAAAGTGGAGGACAGCCCAGGGCTGCCCTGAAAATGGGGACAGCACCAGGTGTGGAGGTGGTAGAGCTTATATAGTGTGCCAAGGGCTGGCCGATACCATCCAGGAGGGTCATTATGCTAATGTGGATCGGGGTGGAGAATTGCATCCTTGCAGAAGCAAAAGTGGTTTCTGTTCAAGTCAAGAGGTTTCTCACAAAGGGAAGTGGGTGGGGCCGGGTGCTGGAGTGGCGAGGCTGGTGGCCGTCCTGTGCTCATTGTGTGCACCGTGGTGCCAGTCACGTCCAAAATCCATCACCATCCCATTTAGTTCTAAATATATTATAAAAGTGTATTTATTAATTGGTGGGATTTCTACCTGTCCTCTATACTAATTTGTGCTGTGGTCTGAGAGCATTCTTTGTCTTTCAGTCACTTGGAATCTATTGAGAGTAGCTTTCGCCCGTCGTGTGGCTGATTTCCAGAGCATCATAGCTGTGCTTACAGACAGCGGGGTCCCTTCAGTCTCCAGCGCAGTGGGATGGGGTTTGTCACAGTCTCCCACGCGTGGACCCGAGGGCTTTTGCCCAGAGCTCCTGCCCTTCTTTCTTGTTCCTCTTTTTAAAGAGCTACCTTTGAATCTCTGCTATTCATTTCCTTCAACTTAAAGCATCCCAGCCCTTCTCCCCCGGGCCTTGAGGAGGAGAGAGGCGAGCCCAGGGTTCTCAGTGATGACCCTAGTGGTGCGGCAAGGCCGGGTGGTGGCGCCGCTGCTCCCGCACAGCTCCGTGCAGCTCGCTGGGCTCCCCACTCTTTGCCCTGGCTGCCTCCACTTACCATGTCAGCGTCCCCCAGTTCTGCATGGCTCACTCAAATGTTATGCGAGGCTGTTGTCCAGACAGTCCTTCTCTTAGAAATGCTACCGAGGGAGATGTTGGGGAATCACAGCAAAGTTTCCCTTGGGAACCGTGCCCCAGCCCTGGCCTCCTCCAGCCTGCTTGGCCCACTGGACAGGGCACCGGAGGAGGCTCTGTGGCTCTGATTAGGAGCCGCCTGCCGCTGGCTACCCCTGGTCCTCCACCTTTTGGGTCTGTAAATAAAGAGGGTTTCAGCTGATGCCTGGCTCCCAGGTAATCCCACGGGGCTGCTGCCCTGCACAGACCTGGACTTTCCTGAATCTCACCACCGATGCTGGGCTTCAGCTTTTCTGCAGGTGACCCACATGTTCTGAGGGCGTTCTCTGTTTCAACTCAGCACAGACACACATGGTTGGCTGGCGGGACACTAGCAGGGTCACGAAGCCCCCCATGCCGCCCCACTTCTTCATCTACCTGGCCTTGAGGGGGTCTCCGCTAGGCCTGGAGATAACGGGTAGGGCGGCCCCTGTTTGGTTATTTTGCTTGTTTTGTACGTGTGCAACAATTACTTGACTTTAGAGGACTGTGTTAGTTTCCGGTCCCATGGTGGCCTGATGACTTCCTGCAGCCATTCACGTGGGTGTCACAGAAATGTGGGGACTCTAGGAGTTAGATGTATTTGGGAGATCTGTTGGTTTCCTAGGGCTGCCCTAACAGCTGCCACAGACTGGGTGGCTTAAGAAAACAAATTTGCTGTCTTAAAGGGGCCAGAAGTCTGAGATCAAGGTTGCTGGCAGGGCGTGGTCCCTCTGGAGCCGGCAGGGAAGAAGCACCTGGCCTCTCTCCAGCTCCTGGCGCTTGCTGGAATGCTGGTGCTCCTCGGCCTGCGGCTCTGGTCTCTGCCCCACCTTCACATGGCAGTGTGACTGCATCTGTGAAGGTTAATTCTAGGTGTCAACTTGGTTAGATGAAAGAATGCTGAGAAACCTGGTAAAGCCATCTTTTCAGGTGTGTCCATGAGGGTGTTTCCAGCAGAGATTAGTATGAGTCTGAGTGGCCTGGATGGGAAAGACCCACCCTCAGTGTGGGTGGGAACCGTCCAATCCACTGGGGGTCCGGAGAGAAAAAAAGACAGAGGAAAGAGGTGGAGCTCTCTCTCGATCCACTGGAGCTGGGATACACTCTTCTCTCCTGTCTGTGAACATCAGAGCTCAAGACTCTTCAGCTTTTGGGTTCCAGGACTTAGACCAAGGACACCATCAGTGTCCCTGGTTTTGAGGCCTTTGGACTTGGACTGAGCCATGCTACTGGCATCCAGTTTATAGACGGCCTATTGTGGGACTTTTCTTCATAGTCATGTGAGCTAATTCCCCTAATAAATCCCTCTCGTATAATTATAACGTATCCTATTGACTCTGTCTCTCTGGAGAGCCCTGACTAATACAGCATCTTAAGTAATTACATCTGCAAAGACTCGATTTCCAAATCAGATCCCATTCTGAGGTTCTGAGGGAATTTGGTGGACACTGTTCACCCCAGTGTAGGATGACAGGGTGCACGTCTCATGTTTGATCTGTTCTTCTCACGTATTTTGTCGAGCGTAACATTCTAAGAAGACGTAGAACAAAAGTGCGAGTCAGGTGGTTGCTGCCCAGGAAGAGGGGGGTGGGGCTTCTGCTCTGGGAGAACCACAGCCGGTGGGAAGTGAGGACGGGCCTCTGTGGACACGTTAGCCTCTGCTCTGGGCTCCCCGGTTGAGTGTTGTTAACTGCCCCTGCAAAGGGCACTAGAAAGAGAGGTGTGGGCAGAGACTGCATGGAGCCAAAAGGACGTAGAGATTTTCTGTTTATGAAAAAAGTCTTTGAATAAACAGATGAGTAATTTGCACAAGAAAGTAAAAGTTACATTGCCATCTACTAGTTAATCTTGAGACATAAAAATGGGGATAACTATCTCTGAAGCCAGATGGAAGAAAAGGAAAAGCTATTAAAACGTGAGCATTCAGATGCCAGCGTGCCGTCAGGTG